CCAGACAAAGACATTATCAGAAAAACATACCAAATTTCTTGACATAGTATTAGCAAGTCAAATCCAACAATATATAAAAAAAGATATTACATTATGACCAAAAAGAGTTTGTCCCAGGAATGCAAGCTTCCTTTATTATTCAATTATTCAATAGAGGGGAAAGTGTGTGTGTGGGGGGGGGGGGGGAGAGGGGGGAAGAATCTTCTCAATCTGACAAAATTCCACACCCATTCATGATTGAAGCAGTCAGCAAAGCAGGAATAAAAAAGAATTCCTTCAACCTGATAAAAGGCATCTACCAAAAATCGACAGCTTACACCATAGTTAATGATAAAAGAACATGTTTTCCACTTAAGGTCAGGATCAATAATGTTACTGAAGGTCTTAGTATAATAAAACAAGAGAAAAAAAATAACACATACAGATTGAAAGGGAAGAAGTAAAATACTTTATTCTAAGTTGACATGTTTGTATACCTAGAAAATCCTAAGAGACCTATAAATAAGTTTGTCAAAACTGGGGATGGGGTTGTACTGACATTTAAATGACATACAAATGAACATAGCAAGGTCACAGACTACAAGGTCAATATACCACAATCAACTTTATTCCTATATAACAAACAACCGGACAATACAATTTTAGAAACTAATACTATTTATAATAAAATCAAAAAATACTTTTAGAAATAAATTTAATATGTACAAGATCCTAAAATTAAAACTACAAAAAAACTAGTGCAAGGTAAAGAACTGAATAAATCAACAAGTATACCATCTTCATGGATTGGAGGATTCAATACTGTTAAGACTTTAATTTCCCTTAAATTCATTTATAATTTCAAGCAATCTCAAATAAATCCCTCCTGAATTTGTATAGACATTGACAGGCCAAGTCTAAAATGTACATGAATATGTAAAAGATATGGAACAGCCAAAACAATTTTGAAAAAGAACAAAATCATAGGACTTACACTGCCTGATTTCAAGATTTAGTACAGAGTTACAGTAATCAAAGCAGTATCATATTAACATAAAGAGAAACACAGACCAACAGAATAGAGTCCAGAAATAGACCCACATATATACAATGAGTTAATTTTTAAGAGGTACCAAAGTAATTCAATAAGAGAAAGGCAGTCAAATGGTGCTAAACCACATATGAGAAAAAAAATGACCCTCAATTTACTTCACAACATACCCTAAAATTGTATACCTAAATATAAAACTTAAAAACTATCACTTCTTTAAATTCAGGATTCAGAGGGAGCAACTTCCCCTTTCCCTTTTTTTAGTGTTGACAGCATTACAATTGTCCCCCATTTTCCATCCCTTTGCCTCCTCCACCTAACCCACTATGTTCTTTGGCTATTTTTATAAATAAAAGCTTTGATGGAATACAACCATGTCCAATCACTTATGTATTGTCAATAACTATTTTTGAGCTACAACAGCAGAGCTGAGTAATTGAATTGCAATTGCCTGTAAACCTAAAATATTTACAATCTGGTCCATTTAAAAAAAAGTTTGAGGATATCTCTTCTAAAAGAAAACATGGGAGGAAAATCTAGGGAACAATTTCCCAGACATAAAAAGAACCCTAAGAAAACATTAGTAAACTGCACTTTATCAAAATTTAAAATTTCTCTTAGAAAGACACTATTAAGAAATGAAATACAAGTCATAAATTGGGGAGAAATACCTGACAAAGGACTTATATTCAAATGGTATCAAAAACTCTTACAGCTAGAAAACAAGAAAACAACCCAATAAGTTAAAGAGTAAAAGATATAAGCAGACACTTTGCAAAAGAAGATACACAACTGGGCAATAAGCATATGAAATAGTGTTCAACATCATTAGTATCTAGGAAATGCAAATGTAAACTTAATGAGGTACCATTAAATGTCTACTAAAATTCCTAATTTTAGCTAAACTGAAATACTAAATTTGGGGCAAAATGCAGAGCAACTAAAATTCTCATACACAAGGTACACAACCACTTTGGAGAACAGCCTGGCAGTTTCTTACAGTTAAACATACATTTACCATACAACCCAGAAATTCTACTCTTTTGAAATTCAAACATACATTCGTCCAAAAACTTGTACACTGGGTAGAAAATGTTTCAGTCCTCACACTGGCAAGAAATAGAACTTTGGCAGTCAAATGGTGCTAAATAACTTGACACCAACTATAGGTACAGTAGGAAATTATAAACAAACAAAATAGTCTTCAAAGCAGGATATACATAGCAAAAATGATAGAAAAATACTGCAACAGCTCAAATGTCCATCAACACATAAATGAGTAAACAAATTGTGATATAGCCTTACAATGGAATACTACTTAATAAATATCCACGATATATCAAAAACCATAGATGAATCTCAAACATATTATGCTAAACAAAAAAAGCCAGACACAAAAGAAAATATATTGCATGATTTCATTTACATGAAATTCTAAAAAAGATGGAACATAATCTTTAGTAACAAAAAACATCAATAGTTGCCTGGGGGCATGGATTATGTGGCAGTAGGGTGGGAGGAGGGAAGAGCTCCATAATAAGCATAAGGGGACTTTTTGAAATGTTCTGTATCTCGATTTGGTGGTGATTACATGGGTGTATACATATGTCAAAACTCACTCTAAAAACATATGCAAAAATCTGTTATGCTGGTGCTCAATGAATATTACATAAACTATAAGTAAAAGTATAAGAGATTCCTTTTGAATAGTTCCTCAAATTCAACTTCCTTCCATAATACTTTAAAAAATATTTTCCATCCTCTTCCTTAGAAAGGAAGATTGTGGTATTTAAAAACTTTCAGTGACAAATACTGAATCATTTTTTACAAAAAAGAAAAATTCTCATCTAGGGAGACAGTATCATCAAATGGCTCTTTTGCTTATAGAGCAATAAAAAAGACAAAGAAGAGAAAAATCCTCATCATACCAAACTCAGTTCCTAACTTTCCTTTTAAACCTCCTTGTTTCATTACATGCGAATGTGACTTTATGTGTTGTGGCTCAACATTATGCTATAGGTAAGGTAGGAAAGTATCAACAAAGCAAACAAAATAATCTTCAAAGTAGAATCATGAAAGCTGATCAATGACATCCTGGTATACATTAGACATAACTAGCAATTCTGGCCAAAAAGACTCTTCTACATACCGTGCTTATTAGAGTCATTTTCTTTAACTTTAGTCTCATTCAAAACTTCACCTTGTCTAAGACCTCTTCATTCTCTCCACTGAAAAGAAATCATCCCCCTACTTTCCCAACGGACATTCAACATACATTTCTTGGGTAACCCAAGATATTATGTCTTGGGTCCTATTTATTCAGATTGTCTACTTCTTCCCAAGAGGCTGAAAGGTTCCACAGGATCCTAACATAGAATGGGGTCAGACTAAATTGTCTGAGGGAATGCTGAAATGAATCACCAATACAAATCCCTCCAGGGTGCCTTCTAGGTATGAGTTTTGTTCAACATACTATGTAACCCCGAGGCCAACAGCAATGGTTGCATAAGTCCAAATTCCTAGCTAAAGGGCCTTTACAGAAGGCACTGATAATTCAGGTGGATGTTCTATTTTAGAGAGGTGGGCAGAGCGAGAATGACCAGCCATCACAGATTCCTGAACAGTGCTTTCCTCGTCTCAGCCAAAGTTCTATTTCTTGCCAATGATGGGACTGAAACATTTACCACCCAGGCCTATCACTTTCCTCCGAGTTCACTCTTAAACTCTTCTCAGAATTAGAAGACTAGAGAGCTATTTGAACCATAAAAGCTGATGAAACATAAGCGTCAGGATTCCTCATTTGCACAGTTCCTACAGTCAGGAAACATTTCTAAGTACGCATTTCTGGCACACTGCCTAAAGAAATCTCTGAAGAAAGAGATCTAAATCACCAAGGCTATCGTAGTATGTGTTGATTTCTTTATTCATTCTAAATATTCACTGTCATATCTAATTTAAGATTATTTTTCGTGAAAAGGAAACCCCCTCACCAAATCTGAATAGGAGGAAAAGAAAAGGGTAAATGTGGAGCCAATAGCTCCTTGGCTATTTCAGTTACACTTAAGTCTTGGAACTTTCACAAAGCACCTCCTAACTCCCCCCCCCCCCCCCCAAAAGATCCACAGTCAGAAGAAAGGATATCAAAGATTAAAAACAGAAGAGAAAAAAAAAGAAAAAGAAAAGAAACCTCAATGTGGAGAGGGGGGAGGATGATAAAGAAATGTCACTCTTGTCTCTAATGAGAGGTAGGAGTGAAAAAGCAAGATAGACGCTGGACATGTCAGAGGGTCTCAAAGCAAGGAGAGTCCCTGGCTACCCTCAGGCCAGAGGAGAGCCGTCCTGAGAACGAGGTTCGGATCAGGAGGTCCTGGGACGGTTAAGGAAGCAACCTCACAGGGACACTCTCTCGCGAATCCTCCGCGGGTCAGTTCCTATTTTGCAAAGCACCAGGACTTGCTCTTGGGCCAAGGCTGGGAAATGGCAGATACAGGCTGGGGGCGGGGGTGGTGAGGGGTGGGAAGGGACAGCTTCGAGGAGGAGAGAAACAAGTGGGGGTAGAAGGGGAGGGTATGGAGAAAGAGGCATGGACGCACCAGAGGGGGGCACTCGGACGGAAAGGGAAGGAGAGTGATTTCCCACCTTTGGTGCGGCACACACACACCCCCGCCCCCAGCCCGCAAATGATAAACAGCCGAGGCCTAGGTGAGGTGAAGTGTGATTTTTTTTTTTAAGGTAACTATGGAACAGAGATGTCTGTTATTTTACCTAAGTCTTTGCATTTGTCAGACTGAAATTTCAGAAAACGCCACCAAACTTCCCAAGAGATCCCAAGTGAGGAGGGCGAACGTGCAGACGCAGACGCAGCGGGGGGGAAAGGAAGGAGCCCGCATTCCGATGGAGGCGGGGGAAGGCGGTGGCCGGAGCACGGAGAGGGGCTGCGGGGAGCGCGGCGGCGCCTGGGAGGGGATGAGAGTCCGCAGGCGAGTCTCTCCCGGCGGCCACGTCGCTACCTCCGGACACCCACCCGCGGTCCGCGGGGTGCGCGAGGGACGGCCCGCGCCCTCCCGACTTCTCCGCTCCGGCCGCTCCCGGCGCGCCCGTGGCTCGGGCAGAACCCCTCCCCGGAGGACCAGGAGCCCCAAGGACCGCGGCCGCCCCGCTTCCGCCCAGAGCCACCGCGTGGGCCGCCCGGACCTTGGACCGCGCCTCGCGGCCGGCCGCCACGCGTGACCCCAGCCCCGAGCCGCCGCCGCCGCCACGACCAAAGCCAGCGCCGCCGACCCGCACTCACCGCAGCGCTCCATCCCGCGTCCCGGACGCGGACGCCGGCCCAACACTCACGGCCGTCGCCGCCGCCGCCGCGGGCTGGAGCTCGCAGCCCCCATCCCCCCACGACCCGCGGACACTCGGCCAAGCCGCCGCCGCCCCAGCCGCCACCACCGCCACCGCGCTGTCCGCCGCCGCCCCGCCCCCGGCCTCGCTCCTCCCGCCCCTTCCCGCCCCCGGAGCCCAGCCCATTGGCCCCCGCGCGGAGGGGCGGGGCTTGGCGCGCGGCGGCAGGTGGGGCGGTTTCTGGCTCCGGCACGCAGGGAGACTGGCTGTCAATAGCGCGGGAGCCCGCAGACTGTCCCCGACGCAGGAGGTGTTGGCCAGTCTGTGCGGTTTGCCACAGGACCAGCGAAGCGAACCTTAGAAACAAGTCACCTTTTGCACCCTCCAGCAGGCAGCAGGTCTTCTGCCCTGGTTGGTGAGGTGGAGATTTCCCTGGTGGACACTTTGAATTCCTTCTAGGAATCTGGTCTTCAGCTTTTTGTCTGCCCCACCCTATGGAACAAAACTATATTTCGTGCTTAACTGTAAAGCTACCCGACTTGCTGCTGGGCGCCAGGCAATCTGTCTTATACTGATTGTCACGTTCAGAAACTAAATTATCCAACTATTGTGGCTTATAGAAGTTGCTCAATAAATACTAGTTGAATTTCCCCCTAACTATGCTACTTGCTACTTACCATTAAATGCTCCCCTAAATAATGGGATTCACCAACAACCAAAATTAAAGCATTTATCTAGAAGTTGGGTCATACAACATATATTTAAAAAGTACGGTGTTTCTCTTGAATAATTAGAGTATATATTGTAATACACCCAATCTACCAAGAATACTCTTCCTATCATCTATGCTGAGACATAGCAGGAGCTCCATAAGTTTTAGTTGAGTAAATGGGTAAAATTTTGGGAAGGGAATTTGGAAAAGTTTCTCAATCTCAACCTCCCCTTAACTTTTTTTCTTTCAAAATATATTAAACATCTGCCATATTCTCCATTCTCTCTTTTTAAAATATACTTTTATTGATTTTAGAGAAAGAGAGGAAGGGAGAAGGAGAGAGAAAAACATCAATGAGAGAGAACTATCCATCAGCTGTCTCCTGCCTGCCCCTCTACTGGGGATCAAGACTGCAAGCCCAGCATGTGCCCTGACCAAGAATCAAACTGCAGTCACTGGGTGGACAAATGATGCTCAACCAACTGAGCCACACCAGCCAGGGCATCCATTCTTCTTTTTTTACTTTGGAAAAATATTATATATATGAAAACAGAGAAAGACAGCAATTCATTCTTACAAAATAAGTACAATTATTAACTGAGAAAAATGACTATAAAAAATATGTTACTTGAGACAGGTGGTTCACAGGTAAAGAAAAGAAAGAATTAAAGAATTCTGGCACATAATTTTATTAACTGTGTCCTAGCACATGCCCTTATGCACCAACTTGTTTTTTACATATAAACATTTCTTGGTTAAAATGGCTCAAGAGCATAGCTTTGAAGGACAAAGAATCACATACAAACTAAAATCTTTCTGTGATAGAGCTAATACTGCCTCTGCTACAGCCTTCCTCTTCTCCTCATGGATATCAATAATCTCATTTGACATTATATGGTACATACAATCCTATTCTTGTGGCACTTGTGGTTCTCATAAATATTTTATTTGGTAGCATTTATTTATACTAATTAGATTGTGTATGTTGCATAAGTATATGTCTGGTATAGAAGGGACTAAGTATTTTCTGGAGAAATGTTGAGGGAATCACCAGTGAGCCAATAAATAAAAATCCTTCAAGATATGTTGGTTTTGCTTTTGTTTTTACCATAAGCTCTGCTCAACTTGCTGAACAGGTGAAACCAAATGCAATGGCTTCAAAACCACTTGCCTAAGGCAAAGCCTGTCCCAAGTACCCTGTGACCTGAGGTGAAGGGATTGATAATGTGGGCAGGTGCTCCGCACGGACAGTAGAGATTGGAGCCCAAAAGGAGAGAGTACAGTGGATATAGGTGCTCTTCCTCTCAGCCACACTTAAGTGATAGTCTGTTTAGAAGAATGCAACACCATCCACCAGACCTATTTTACTCATTGTCCAAATATGTATTGAGTGCCTCCAATGGGCCAGGCATTGTTCTAAGTGCTGGAATTATACGAGTGAACTTTAAATCCGTTCTCGGGCTCTCCTCGGCCATGATTAAATGCCTTGGAGAGGAGTTGAAGTAATGAAATCAAGTAAGGGTGGCCCTAAGGCAGGTAGGCTCCCCATCACTGTAGCTGCCTTTGACCCTTGCTGCTGGAGCACTTAAAAAAGAATCACGGAGAGCCTGGCAGGCCACACTGAGTACAAAGACACCAGATTCCAAACTGGACAAAACTCACCAAGCAGGTTATTAATCTTGATTCCATGATGCTAGCAATTGAGAAACAAGGAATCAATTCAGACCACATTCTGGAAATAAATGTGAAAGACATTGCAAACATTTAATAATTCTGTGTTGTCATGAGGAGAGAGGAAATGACGGTTGGAAATAAAAGAAGAAAAACTCAATTGAGTGTATGGATATGATATACTAATTTCATGTTTGGATTAACATATTAAATTTCAAACCCCGGTTGTTTTGTTTTGTTGCTTTTGTTATCTTAAGCACTCTGTAAGACATTTGATAACATCAATCTCTGTGCTTGAGTCACTATGTACCATGACCCTACTTAGTGTTTTAACAACACATTTAGGCAAACTCTCCCAATGGTTAGTGCAAAATGATACTATTGGCTTCAAATTTGAATTATTGATATTGTTATGCATGAAGAGATGATAATGATGACAGCAATAAAAACTAGCCTTCCATGGATAGCCATTGCAGTACACTGAGCTCTATAACAGTGCTGGGGCAAGTGCCAGGTGGATGGGCACTGGGCAACTACTGTATGCTTACTGAGGGAAAGTAATTAAATGTGGCCAAAGGAAATCCTTAAGAAGCCCAGAGACAAAATGTCATCGTACGCTTTCTTTGTGCAAACTTGCTGGGAAGAACACAGGAAGTAGCATCCAGATGCTGCAGTCAACTTCTCAGAGTTTCCTAAGAATTGCTCAGAGAGGTGGAAGACCATGTGCTAAGGAGAAAGGAAAATATGAACACATGGCAAAGGCAAACAAAGCCCATTATGAAACAGAAATGAAAACATATCCCTCTAAAGGGGAAACATTAAAGGATTCCACTGTACCCAAGAGGCCTCCTTTGGCCTTTTTCTTGTTTTGTTTTGAGTATCCCCCAAAATCAAAGGAGAGCATCCTGGCCTATCCAATGGTGACGTTGCAAAGAAGCTGGGAGAGATGTGGAATCACACTGCTGCAGAGGACTGTTGTGGGGTCGAACCCTGGGTTCAAAATAAGGCCACCGGAGGCTGATAATTTATTTAAAAAAAGCAAACAAGAATTTATTGAACTGGCCAGGGCAGTCACAAGAGTACCACACGCAGGCGGACCCTACATGACTACGAGGCTTTAGGGGCAGGTAGTTATTTTTTAAAGGTTCTGAGAAGGAAAACCCCCATTCTACAACAAACTGTTGTTTGGAATTTTCTGCTGTTCTTCCTAGATAAAATGTTGCTTTCTAGTTTGCTTTAGCCCGTTTGAAGAATGACGAAGATAAACTTAGCTGTCTGACCTTGCAGGCCAGAGACCAGATATACCCACAGTCTCAATAACATGCCAAGTGCATTTTTTTTTTTAATTGGATAGAACAGCATTGCTTTTGAGGCCAGCATGAGGCTGGCTCTTTAATGAAAAAGGAAGTTCTGCCTCTAACCTTGCCTTCCCTAAGGGATGAGGTTGAACTCATCCTCCCGAAGCCCATTGCGCGGTGAACAAAGCAAGTAAGTGAAGGTCGAAGTCAAAATAGTAGGGTTAAAATTCAAACAGTAGTTTTTACCCAAGTATGATTGCTACCATATTTCAAAGACAAACAGCCTAATGAAAGGAAGGCTGCTGAGCTAAAGGAGAAATACGGAAAGAATACTGCTGCAAAAAAAGGGAGTCATCAAAACTGAAAAAAAAAAAAAATTAAGAAAACGAAGGAACAGGAGGAAGATGAAGAGGAGGAAAAGGAGGAGGAGGAGAACAGAAGAAAGAACAAAAGGAGGAGGAGGAGAAGGAGGAAGAGGAGGAGGGGGAGAAGGAGGAGGAGGAGAAGTTGTTGGTTTTCAGAAGTGGTTTTTTTTTTTCTTTCTTGTCTATAAAGCATTTAATCACAACTCACCCCTTTTAAAGAAAAAAATTGAAATGTAAGGCTCTGTAATATTTGTTTTCAAACTGTACAATGTGTTTTTTGTATAGTTAACACACTACAGGAAGTGTCTTTAGATATCCTGGTGGTATTTTCAGTAGCCACTAACCTTGCCTGGTACACTGTAGGGGTGGTAAATTGGCATGGAGATTTAAGGTAGGTTCTTGTTGGTGAATAGCACAAAATAGTTATATGTGGGGAGAGTAGTTTATTAATCTTCAGTTGTTTCTGATACAGTTTATACAAAATAATTGTTCTGTTAATTAAAAAAGACATATGTAATACTTTCAACAATAAAGAATTTAAATTAAAAACACACACACACACTCAAAAAAATACCACTCTATAATTGCAAAAGAAGTTGCAGCTGTTTTGTTGACATTCTGAATGCTTCTAAGTAAACACAATATTTTTATTTTAAGAAACTAGCTTTCCATGGTTTGCTCTGTGCTAGATACTATCTTAATTATTCTTTATGTTTAGTGAGTCACAACAGCTCTATGAGGTATTAGTATCATCCCCATTATACAAATGAAACACTTCAGCAGAGATCAAAAGTTCAATAGTTTCTGTTAGACTTAAAGAAAATTAGTGTTAAGATGAAGATAAGTTTGACCATACTTTTCTTAGGAAAACTTCCTGGAGACTCACTCTTCTTATTCTTCCTCTGCCTCTCTGGCCTTCTTGCTGTTCCCCACATGTGCCAGGGGCTCTCTTGCCTGAGGGATGTTGCCTTTGCTATTCCGTCTGCCTGGGATGGGCTTTTCCCCCTACATCTACGTGACTTGTTGTTTGCTCCCTTTCAGCCTCTCCTCGAATGCTCAATACCACTGACATCTCCGCTCCATAGAAAACAGCATTTCCCTTTTTTGCTTCTCTCTATCTTCCTTGCCTGCTTTAAATGTTGCCACCCCACTTACCATTCTATTGGCTTGGTATAGCTATTAGTGTCTTTGTATATTTTTTATCTTTCCACACCAGTGTCAAAATGTTAGCTAGGTGATAGAAAGGACTCTGCTTATTTTGTTCACCATTGTACTTGGAAAAGAACTTGGCATTAATCAATAAGCAAAAAGGTTTAAAGAAAATAACAGTAAATATCCCTAAATACTAAATTTATCTTTTAAAAGGACTGGTTTGTTAATATTTTTAAAGTTTTAATCAGATAAAAGAACCATAGTGCTTTGTTTGACAAAGATTTTACATCAGCTGCTTGTAACCAACATAATATGTGCCAAGTTTAATTATGTCACCCAATCTTTACCTGCAAGACCATAAATAACTCTAGGATCTTAAATTATTTTCTTCCTTTTCTTAAGTGAGGGGAAAAATTTTCTGCTATTTTTTTTTATTTATTCTATTAAATGCTAATTAGATAAGAAAGCAAATATAGCCACCCCATCAACTGTGTATTTTATTCAATGAATGACACTATGCAAGGGGGGGAGGGGGCAGAATGCATCTTGTCATTTGGTCCTCATGAAAACCTTATGAGATGGGAAGATGAGATTTGTTTTTCACCAAGAAAATATCCTTATTTTATAAGGAAAGCTCAGCCAGCTTTCCCAGAAATCACAGTTTGTGCTTGGCCTAATTAGACAGGAACCAACACCAAGGGTCTTTCCACACAAATTGATAGATTAAGGTCTTCAAATGTTTGTGAGTTTATGAAGTTAGTCCGGTGCACCTATCTGTATCATTCTTAGTTTAATGTGTAA